GCTGGTGTGGAGAAAATAAGAGTTCCACTAAACTTTAACCTACCACTGCCATCTGGTCACTTTGGATTCCTCATGCCCGAAAACTAACAGGCAAAAAAAGAGTGACCATAATGACAGAGGTTATTGGCCCTGAGATCATGAGGAGAGAGGCTACTGCAGCATCCTAAAGTCACAGAGGACTATGTTTGGCACTCAGATGACCCAGTGGGTCACCTCTTGTTCTGCTCATGTCAAGTTTAACGGTAAATGGGTGAGTACAACAAGCACCGACTAAGGGCATGGTAAACAGATCTCAGACCCCTGGGAGTTGAATGTCTGTGTCATCATACCAAGCAACAATGGCAGACTAGGATGAAGGGAATCTAGAATGGGTGGTAGAGAAGGGAGATGATGAGTATCAACTATAGAGGCTTGGGACCAAATACATAAGTAGAGGCTGTGCTTTATCCCACTATCCCTCTTTTTGTATATGTGAATTGCAACAACAGAATCCAGAAGAAGTTATACCTGTATGGAGAAAATCAATGTGAGAAGCAAGTGGATCTGAGCAGTGCTGGGGTGAGTGTTCTAGGTGCACTGGTGGCTGCCCAGATTTGTTTTACTGAAACACAGCACCCATCTCTCAGCTGCTGAGTGTTGGCTGCTAATGACAGTAAGCAACACTTAGGTTTTGTTCAGTTGACATTATAATGGTTTTATTCTTTCATCTGGTTGTATATGGCTGTAATGGAGTTCATTTCTTTTTACTGCTCTCAAGTATTCTATTGTATCAATATAGCATAATTTACTTATCCATCCTTCTGTTGATGGATCTTTGAATTGTTTATGTTTTTGGCTATTACAAATAATGCCACTATGGATATCCTTTTACCTGTCTTTGAATACACGCACATACATTGCTGTTGGGTTTCTATCTAGGAGTGAAACTATTGGATCATAGGGTATGCATATCTTCTAAGATAGTAGATAATGTTGAACAGTTTTCCAAAGTGATGTGTGTCCTGTTAGGAACTATTTTACAATTCTGTGGGTATGAAGATATTCTCCTTTATCATCTCTGGATGCTTTATTGTTTTACCTTTTACCCTTAGATCAATAATTAACTTGGTATAAGGCAAGGGTAAGATTTAATTTTTTTTTCCATAGAAACAATTGACTATTTGATTTAAGAACACTATTTATTTAAAAGATTTCCCTTTGTCCACTATTCTGCCACACAATATCCCGCAATGTTTCATTTGTTTGATTTTTCTCATAAGAGAGCTTTGGTTCTAGGCAAGTAACTGGCCAGTTATTTGGTTGAAACTTCTGTGATATTGATATTATCTTTGTTTTACTCTGAGGAAACTGAGGCTTAACAGAAGTTAATTTAGTGAATAGTTTCTTCTGTACAAACATTCACATTATTAATGCCTTAAAAAAGATAGAAAATCTTAATTAATTAATTTAATGAAGCAGATAACAGTATGGAGATTGGTGATCCAGGTCTGCCAAGACACTTCTGTCATCTTCACGTGGTGTCCATTTCTGGGTCTAAGACAGTTATTTCAGCTCTTACCCTCATGTTCTCATTGCAGCCCAGTGTGAAGAGAAGAGCATAGAATGCATGCCCCTTGTTTTAGGGTTGTTACCTAGAAATCATAGAATTACACTCATCCTATTGACCCAAATTCAGTTATATAGCCACACCCAGAACCAACGAAGCCTGTGGAGTCTTCACCTTAGGTGGCCCACGTCTTACTGAAATTTGGGGTCTCTGTTACTAAAGGAAGAAAGGAGAGAATGGATATTGGAACGGCTAGCCATAGTTGTGTACTTGGTTGCAATACCTCTGAGACTCACACAAAAGTCTGCGTAACTCCAGGCTGTTCTGTACAGCCCTTGACAACTAGCTGGACTGCAACAGCTTGCCTTTAGAAAAACTTCTCAGGGTACATTCCTGTCAGAATTTAATTCCTAGATTTCTCTCCTGACCTGTATATAACTTCCTTTTACTAGAAAATAAAATTATTTAACTCAATGTATTTTTTTTTTTGTCGTAGCTATTAGGAAAACTGAGCTAAATTTAAAGACGATAAGCTATAAGCTATTGTTAGTGAACAAGTTTCCAAAGCCTCTTTTAATCCTCCTCTATGACTTCGCTTTCACTTAATTCTCTCTCTCTCTTACCCTCTCCCTCTCTTCCTCCCATCCCCCTGCCTCCTCCCCACCCCACTTTGTCTGTCTCTCCCTGTTTTACCTTCACAAGTGATGGTGCCCTGGTGTTTTCTCTCCGCATCCCCACTGCCCACATTTTGAAGATAAGGACTAAGTAAAGGGGGTGGGGAGGTGGGGAGGATGAGGGCCAAGGTGAGTCACCACATCCCTTTCACTTTTTCATTTTTTTTTAAAACTTTTATTATTAGTTTTTATTACACAAGTAATACATATTCATTGTAGAAAAATTAGAAAACACAGAAAAGCAAAAAGAAAAAATAATCACCCATAATCCCACTACCTATAAATAACTACTATTAACATTTTAGTGTATGTCCTTCTAGCTTTCTTATGCATATATATATACATACATAGATATATTTATATATAATTTTCTTTTTTACAAATATTGTGTCATACTATACATACTGTTTTATAACATGTGTTTTTCATTTAATACATATTGTGAACATTGTTCTTTATTCCCTGAAAAAATTATACAGATACTACATGCTCATTGTGGAAAAATCAGAAATTACAGATATGCAAAAAGAAAATATAATTGCTCCAAATCTCACCTCCCAGAGATAAATGCTGTTAACATTTTAGCAAATATCCTTTCCAACTCTAATGCACACGTGTATATATATATATATTTTAAATGAGATCACACTATAGATATTCTGTAACTTCCTTTTTCATTTAACAATATAGCTTGTTCATTTCAATAAATATACATATGGTGCTTATTCTTAACTGGTGCACAGTATTCCATTGAAAGGTTTTACTATATTTAACCAACACTATACTGTAGGCTTATTTACATTTTTTCCATTCCTCCAAATAATGCTGCTGTAAGCTTTCTTTCCTGCATATACTTTTTGAACAATGAATGAAGGTTTCTTAGTTCATTTTTTTCTGATCCGTTTAAAGAGAATTTCCCTAAAGTGGAATTACTTGGCATACACTAAAACTATATTGCCAAAATATTTTCCAGAAGGGTCAAATGAATTTACACTCTTGTTGACTTTGTGAGAGAATGTTTATTTCCACACTTCCTTGCTGTCCCTGGGAACTTTAATTCTTTATACCCTTTGCCTTTCTGATACATAAAAAGGAGTTATCATAATAATTCACATTTTTTGATTACTAGTATTTTCAAATATTTTCATACTTATTATTAGTGCATTATTTTAATTTATGGTACATTGCCAGTCTTTGTTCTTGGCTCAATTTTCTACTGGAAAGTTTGATTCTTTTTGAGTCATAAAATGTCATTTACTCATGCATTCATTACTCACTCATTCAGTAAACATGTTTTCAGTGTTTGCTTTGCATCTAGCACTGTGTTAGATTTGAGGATATGACAGTTAGCAGAATGGGCATGGTTGTGGCCTTCTTGAACTTCCAGTTTAGTGGAGATAGACAAACAAGCAATAATGAAAAAAACACAATGAGGAAAGAATGAAATGGGAACACTTGGCTGGGAAGGGGGCTGTAGATCACAGAAACTTCCCAAAGGTAATGGAGTTTAAGCTCTTGACAGATATCAGAGACCTATACTCTTTGTTGCATGTATTTCAAATTTTGTTTTCTCTTAATTTGGTTTGTTATTTTTTACTGTATAAGAGTTTTGCATTTTTAATTGGTCAAATCCATCCATCTTTTCCATTGTGGTTTCTTCCTTTGGTGTCATGCTTAGAAAGCCTTTTGTCCACAGTAAAATTACATAAACATTCATTAATATTGCCTGCTAGTCCTTTTATATGTTTATTTATGTGCTTTACCATTTAAATCTTTACTTCACCTAGAATTTATTTTGATGAAAGTTATGAGGTATAGATCTAATATTTCCCCCAACAAATGGCTAACCAGTGATTCCAATATAACTTACTTAATAAGCCAGGCTTTCTCCCAGATTTGAAATGTCATCCCAATTCTTCTGTGTTCTTGGGTTTATTTCTGGACTTTATATTCAATTTTAGTGATTTATTCTAGGCTAACAGCATCACTGCTTTTTCTCATCCTATCTATATTTACCTGAAAGTCGAGCATTTTACATTTGGTGATGTTCTAGAACACAAAGAAATGATAGTCATTGCTTAGGTATGTGTATGGGGGTGGGAGTTAGTCTGGATGATATCTTTAATCCTTTCAACTTTGAGACTTCCAGAGTCTGAAATTCCATGTGGGATCATTGTTAATCTGGCATTGTTTGCTGTCTAAAAGAAATTAGATGCTTTTATCCTCTGTGTATTCGTTTTCCCATCTCACTCTAAAGCCCAGCTTTCAGTAGGTTGCAGTATTGCCAAACAGTAAGTATCCCAACTGTTACAAAAGCGCTGAGGAACAAAATGATCTGGCAGGATTTTAGAGCTTCCTCAAGAGCTTTCAGTAGAGGAGGCATCAAGGCCGTGCTAGTTCTAAAGTCCTCTTTGCACCCCTGAACAATGGTGCAACCAGAAGTGTGCAGTGAATCCGTTCCTAGATGTGTGCAAAACATTAGTGGACAGATTTTTTAAAGTGACACCTTGGCCTTGAGGCATTTCTTCACATACTTTATCCAAAAGTGCCTTTGGGCCCAGCCACTAACTGATGTAAAGCCTGGAATTGTGGTTTGAAAGAATATGATTGTGGTGGGATTCAGGTGATTTTTATTTTCTTTATATTTGGTAGTATTTTTCAGATTTCCCACAAAGAACTTATATTGCCTCTACAATCTGAAAAAAAAAATCAACGCGGGGTATTAAAAATATGGTGGTCAAATGGATGATTGTGTGCCAGAAAAAGTTCGCATCCTTTTCTGTTTCACCTCAGGGTTATTGCTAATCTGAAAGCAAACTACCAGCAGGAAGCCAAGACAGTAGAACCAAATGCCATGGAACTACACCTGAGAAAGTCCTTTGGTAGGTGAGAGGAGGGTGGGGTCAGCTCCTAAAGAGATGCATTGGCATATCAAATGGGAGACGGTGAATTACCTATTGCAACCATGAGCCAGTGTAGGTTATTAGACTTTGAGCACTAAATTTAACTTTAGGACCTGCTAGTGAAAGAAGATCTATAAATCTTGGAGTGTGTCCACAGGAACTACAAAACTGATCAAAGGCTGGGAAACAGGCACTATGAATAAAAGATAAGGTGGCTGCATTTATTTACCTTAGCTATGGAAAGCCCAGCAAGGGAATTAGACAAATTCCCATCTCCATGGATAGCTACTATAGCCCTCCCAGACACGGAGGTGAGACCTGAATTTATTAACAGTCTTCAGTTGTACAAAGGACAATTGCACAGAAGGTAAGTGTTACTTTCACACTGAGACTAAGGCGAGAGTGAGCACAAATTAACCAAGCAGAAGTGATTTAGCTCAGGCATTAAGAATAACGTGCTGAACACCAAGGTTGGGCTTATCAGTTCATAACTTTGCATGGATTAGTAGGAACTAATTTGAAGCTAAGGGTTCAATATAGTGGAAGGGTGGGAGAGGGCAGAGACAGGAGCTGAGAGCGTGCCAAATTGGGCTGCTTTATAATTTCTAAAACAATGAACCTGAAGTGATTTAACCTCAGGGGATGAAAATGAACCACATTCAGGAAAGGATATTAAGCTTTAATCAAACCTGATTTACAAAAATCAGGGTTTGCAGACCAGGTAAATCTGGAAGTGGTTACCTGCCTTGCAAGGGAATATTTACCCTAGGTGTCTTTAAATAGCATATTCCCACAAACTGTTTTTACAAATATTTGATTTAGAAAATTGTGATTTTTTTTCATAAACTTTCAAGGGTACTTCTTATAAAAGTCAAGCATCCCTATAACCATGCATTAGTTAATTACCAGTTCATTGGAACACAACTCTGGACTCCAAGAATAAGGCTAAAAACCAGCTGGTATAATGTAAATAGAGACCTGCATAGCCTTTTGAGATCTCTTCCAACCCTTTAGTCCTTCACTTTCAATCAAAAAAGCCAGAAGACAATTGCAAGTATAATTTCCACAAACATCAGATATTAGGTTGAACTATATGAAATTGTCATTTTTGTAGGTCAAAACAGTCAAATATCAGCAATTTCATATAATTCAACCTAATACAATAATTATTCTGGTAGTTCATTTCTACCTCTCTTCATCTTCACTAAAGCTAAAAGCTTTAACATATTTACTTTTTAGGTCAAAACATTGGTGGGCATATAAATGCCTGTGCATATAAGTACTGAGAAACTATGGGGTTGGGACTAAAGATGCATCCTGGATAAACCACTTATAGGCGTCTACCTCATCCTTTTATTGTCCTAGATAGTTGCGCCTCATGTCTGACTTTAGGATTTTTCAGTTTATGGAAAACAAGAGAAGTCCAAAGGTCTGATTTCTCACCCCATGGGAAATTCTGTCTGGGAAATGGGCCAAAGGAAGAACAAGGGAAAATATAACAAAATTTGTACCATGTTACAAGTTTAGTGGAGGAAGATCACAACAAATCTGTGAGCCAAAAAACGAAGCGTGTGGTTTCCTCCTTTCTAAAATATAGTATTGCTTATGTGTCCTGCTGTCAAGATTCTAAGCATAAGACAAGACACCAAGTACACATTGGAAAAGTCATATCTGCATAGTCATCTAAAATGAGACAAGCTTAGCTTAACTAAAAAGATTTTATTAACAATGTAAAATGTTAAATATTTTTACGATCTGAGCTAATTCCAGCATGCCCTATAAGATTTAACACTACGCTGATGTGCAGACATCATGCTTCAGATTTCAATTAGAACAAAATGTGAGAATATTCAATTTTACATTTGAGGGTAATTGGATATGGTACTACACCATTTCCTAACTGGATTACTTCACTCTTCAAGAAGCTGAAAAAGACAACATTGGATCAAAAGGAAATTAGTTGCCCATATGCATGGTACGAAGGTATTAGGGTTATTGTGTATTTACAAAATTTAAATACTTTTCATATATGGTTTTGTTGCATTATAAATTAAGATATTCTTATGTTGAAGCTCTTAGATTCTGACAGAATGGAAGACTAAATGTAAATGAGTGCAGAGAAAGCAATAGGTGAAGTGGTATATGATTGATTATAATATTATTTCTAATGATATTGATAGATTGGATTTTTGAACACAGTTTTGCAGTTTTAAATAGGTTTCTATGTTTAAAGACTTATTTCATATATGATAAATTGTTAACATGAGATCAGCAAGAGCTATAGATATACTATCATACATGAAATAATTTTTCTCCGTATAATTCATTTAAAAAAAACCTCTAAGTAATTTAAAAATCATAATTCTTGCTTCTGTCATGGTATGGTTTGGAGCAGACATGCACAATGTCAGCTTTAAAAATATTTTTAAAAACAGCCTGCTTTTTGAATCTTTTTTTTTTTCTTGACAGCAGCTGCTTTCAAATGTAAAATCATTTAAGAGGGCAGGGGAGGCGGATCAAAGCAATAAGGAAGCATAGAAAACATAGTCAAAACCCAATAACTGTGGTGCGGCTGACCGGAGGTCCTTGGGTTCTGTGATATTTTCAGGTCTTCCCAATGGTGGGTTTCCAGGAGGAATCGCCTAGCTTGAGACGAGACAACACAGCCCAAAGAACCTTCTCTTCCGTCTTCTACCCAGTGGGTAGGGAGTCAGATTTAGAAGGCTGCTGTCATCTGTGACGGGACAGAAAGTACAGATGAGTGAGGTACAGACAAAATCACCTGCTTTTTATGAATTGGCTTTAAAAATGCACCCTTGTTTGAATCAAGGCTTTGTTAACCTCAGCAGTATTGCCATTTTGGACCAAATAATTCTGGGTTGTTTGGGGCTGTCCTGAGCCTTGTAGGATGTTTAGCAGCATGCCTGGCCTCTAGTCACTAGATGCCAGTAGCACTTTCCCACCAGTTGTGACAACCAAGAATGTCCCCAGATGTGGCCAAATGTTCCTTGGAGGAGGGGTAAATAGCCCACAGTTGAGAACTACTGCTTAGAACTAAATTCAAACTGCTTCTGGGCAATCTTTCAGCTGAGAGAAGTATAGCTTCTTAGAAAGAGCCCACGCGTAAGAGTAAGGTTAGCTTCTTTTCTAAACTTGCCTCTGCTATTTACTAGCTCTTTGGCTTTCAACATGGAACTTAAACTCACTAAGCTTCAGTTTCCCCTTCTGTAAAACAGAATTTAATAATACCTTAGATGAGCATTAAATGAAGTAATCTATGAAAAACATTTAGCTTGGGTGGTGATGTTGGAGCTTAGTATAGAGGAAGCACTCAGTGAATATAGCTATTATTAACTCTTTCCTTTACATAGGACCGTTGCCTCCACTCACCTACTTTATGCCTCAGGAAGAAGTTTCAACTATTCCTCGATGTGTCCTTCCCTAGCACTTTCCATACATTTCTTTACACAAGGGCATTCAACATTGCTAGCTGTTGAACTCATAAGTTTTGGTTTGAAATTTTCAGCATGACGACAAGTAGAGGAAGAAATAAACTGGTAAACCAAATCTGGTTCAATGAGCTGGGTTTTTAAGAAACAGTACAGTCCAAAAGAGAGGGTAGGTAGAAACAACCTGTTGGAGTAGAACTGGTCAGTCTGTGTGCTAGAGGCTGGAGAAAGACCAGAAGGAGATAACCTGGAAATTGCCAAGTAGGGCAGTGCTAGGACATGGTCAGGCTGGAGCTAGGGGCGACCCTATGGCTGTTGGCTCTGGAAACTGTTGTGGACCTAAATTCTGCCTGGACTAGTTGCACTGCCCTCCTAGAGTGGAGTGAAGAGCCTCCCTCCTTTTCCATCCTAACTTTGAGGATACAAGACCTTGGGAAAGAGCTCAGTATCAGGAGTTAGAGGAAGAGATGGGTATAGCAAAGAACATGCCCCACCTCAATAAGACTGGTTTGTACATGGGGGTTGGTTTTCTTGATTCCTGAGCCTAGACACTCAGGAAACTGTCAGGAACAAAAATGAGTCCCGGCTTTCCAGTCCTCTTACATAAATTGTGTCATCCAAGTGACTGGGCTTTTCCTCCCCTTCCCCAAAGGCTCACATGTGTCATGCTTATTTGTAAATTAGCATCACCCACCAAGTTGACCACGTTCCTTGGAATGGTGCTCTATGTTATACATTCAGATGAAGCAGTGAGTCGGAGCCAGAGAAAAATCAGGTGGCCCAGCTGGGCACATCCAATTAATCAAACAGTCCACTCTTCTAGGCTCTCAGATTGAAATTCTCTTTTAAAACTCATATTTTGCTTACATGGAGAAAAAGAGGACTCTCTTTGTCCTTTCATAGTGAAAAGGAATTCACTATAATCTAGATGTCAACATTTTGAGACTAAAAATAGGACATCACTCTTTTATAGTTAAACTTGTCCCAAATAGTTATGACACTGAAAGCAATGTCAGATACTATATATGAGCCTCATTTCTCAGGAGAATCTTTCAGAGCTGGAGCATGATATATTTGGAACAGAAAGAAACGATTACTCACTTTCTCATCATTTTTTAGGACTCATTTGTTTAACCAGCAAATGATCAATGAACTTAACCTAACCGGATAAAAAGGCAAAGATACAGCAGACTCTGAAGTGTAAAGAATTTTACCTCTTGATATCTCTTTGGATGCTGACTACACTTCCTAAAGCCCTGGAATTCAATGCTTCCTTGGAACAGAATCATCAAAACTATGAAGATATTTGGGGCTGGCCCCGTGGCCGAGTGGTTAAGTTCGCGCGCTCCGCTGCAGGCGGCCCAGTGTTTCGTCAGTTCGAATCCTGGCGCGGACATGGCACTGCTCATTAGACCACGCTGAGGCAGCGTCCCACATGCCACAACTAGAAAAACCCACAACGAAGAATACACAACTATGTACCGGGGGGCTTTGGGGAGAAAAAAGGAAAAAATAAAAATCTTTAAAAAAAAAAAAAAAAACTATGAAGATATTTATAGGAGGAGAAAAATCTTATTTCTATTTCTTTAAGACTTGGAAGATCTATTTCCTCAATTCTCATATATCCTTCTTTTTCTCCAAACATTTAAGAGACTGGGGAAGTGACCTAACTGGTATTTATATATTATAAAATGCAATTCTGATGTGTATTATTCCCACTACTGCAATGTTGTATATTCAAAGGAAGTATGTATGTGTGTGCTGTGGTATGCATATGCTGTGGTGGCATGTTTGCTCCCATTCTCTCTTTTTCGTGTATATTAAAAGCATACAGGTATTATGAGATTTGTATCAAGGCTGACCCTTGTACTTGTGCATTCATTACAGTAAATTAAAAAGTCTTTTGTGCTATTGAAATTCTCCTCACTCAGCCTTCTTTTCACATATATGTGTGTGTGTATATATATATATATATATTCACTTGTGAGTGCTGTATGCACACATGCACGCACACACACACAGCATTCTCAAGTGAATAGTAAGTGTTAGAATTGATGAGAAAGTGCTCATATGTTAAGCAAAGGACAGGCTGCCCATTAAGGACTACCGCTGGTTTGAGCCGTGTTTGTGAGCTTTTGTGACACCTTTGCCTAGCCCAGAGCTCATCTGATCATCACCTCGGGCTGAGGCGACACAAAAGCTCAAAAATTCTTGGCATAAATTCAGAGCAGCTTTTTACACCACAGGAAGCTGACACCTGCAGTAAATGCCGAAATTCACCCAGCAGTAAATATACCCAGAATGGTTTGAAGTGAATTTTAACTCCAAGGAAAGATGTCTTTCCACATTGATTGAAATCCTTTCTCTGAAGTGATGGGCTGCTGAAAGAATAGGAGCGAAATGGAAATGCGTCCCCAGTCATTCTGAACTTTCTGGGCTAACCCACCTGAACTTGTTGGGAAATCTTTGATTTTTATCGCAAATGTTGGAGATGTTTATAGCATCTTTTCTCCAAAGTGCATACTCTCAGAGAACTGTAACCTAGGACAGTTTTAAATGTGAAAATGAAAAGTGAGAAAGGGAAGAGGAGGAAGGAATGCATAGGAGAAAGAGAAAGAAGAGGAGTGTAGGAAATTAGCCATCGGTAAGTTCAAACCTCAGTGATTCCCTGTTTAATTCTTGGATGCTACTACACCCAGTGATGCTTGAGTCCCCTAAAACACAAGGATACCATTTCCCTATTGTTCAAATTTCTTTTGCTAATAAAAGATTTCTTACATAGATGTTAATAAACAGAAGGACATGGAAATGAGGAAATGAGTTTTCAAATAATGAACAGAGTGTTTGAGTTTAAAGCTCTGTTCTCGGATAAACTCAAGGGAAGTGCTCATAATGGAACAGCGGTTGCAAATTTCTATTCCAAAAAAAAAAAAACGAAAAAGAGGAGACCTTCAGCTAACCCAGCACTTCTCAAACATTAGCTGCATCAGCATCATCTCAGGGCTTGTTAAAGCACAGACTGCTGGCCCCACCTCCAGAGTTTCTGGATCAGTGGGTCTGAGGTGGGACCAGAGAATTTGCATTTCTTACAAGTTCCCAGACCTGTTGATGCTGCTGGTCCTGAGTCCACACTTTGAGAACCACTGAACACCAAAGGCCTGCTAAGTACAAGGCTCTGTGTCAGGTGCTGAAGGTAATACCAGATGGGTCCCAATAGAAAGATGGTTCTTGGCCTCAAGGATCTCTCCTTGAGTAACTAAGGCTTCATTAGGAACACCATAAGAGAGATACTAATACAATGCTACAAGAATTCCCAGACGGGGAAATTATTCCCATCTGGAGGAGGAGGCAGAAGATGTTCACAACAGATTCATGGAGGCCTTGGCATTCATGCTGGGCCACAAGGGTGAGGAAAACTTGGACATTTGGTGAGGAGGGGGAGAGGGGTGGGAAGGTGTTCTGGGTGAACAGAGCAGTGGAAACAAAGACATGGAGGTCAAAGGCAGCCTCATTTTGGGTCCAAGTAAACAGTCCAGTCTGGCTGGAATGAAGGGCATATGAAGGAGGGGATAGTACAAAACAGAACTACTTAGAATTCTCTAAATATGGCTATATCTTCTCTTGCCTTCCTGCCTTTACACACACCATTTCTTTTTCCAGAAAAGTCCTTCCTTCTTAGACAAATGCCAGTCCCTCCTTCTTCAAGATTAGCTTAAGCATGTTTTTCCCTGCAAAGTCTTTTCTGACTGCTCCATGCATCTGCATTCCTTTGTGCTTCCATCCCTTCTATAAACAACTGCTATAGTCCTTTGCACATTATTTGCTTCCAACCCTATCTACCATCTGGTAAGCAACTCTTTACAAAAGTCTTGATAAATGTACCCTTGCTGCCCCAGCTCTTCATCTCCCACTTACTCCCCAACCCTCCTAACTAGGCTTCCAGGCCCAAAATTCAAGTAAGCTGCTTTGCCAGCACAACCAGTGACTGCCTTGTTGCCAAATCCCTTGGACAGTTTCAGTTCTTATCTAGTTTGACTGCCCTGAGCTATTAGCCATTCCTTCCTTGCAACTTTCTTTGATATATTTCATAATGTTTCTCTGGTTTTCTCCTCAGTCCCCTTTGTAAACTGCTCTCCTTTTTCCTAAAACTTTAAATTTTGGTATTCCAGGGCTCTTCTCTATGCACACTCTCCTTGGGTCATCTCAACCATTCTTAGGGTTTCAATTGCCATTATGCTGATGATGCTTAAATCTGTATTCCCAGTCCTCCCAGCTCACATGTCTCACCTCAGCACAAGACTTATATATCCATTATTAATCACTGAGAATGCTCTTGGAGTCCCCTCATGTCCAGAGCTTCAATCATCCTCTACTTCTACTGCTCCTCCTCTGTTCTCTCTAACTTAGTGAATGACACCATGATTTGTTCTGGTTTCCAAGTCTGACCCTGGGTTTCATCTTTGATTCTGCCTTCTCTCTTATGTACTTCATCCGACTGGCCGTATGTTCTTCTCCAACTCCCTGGATTCTGGTCAGATCTTAAGCATTTCTCACCTGGATTATTACATTTGCCTCTTAACTGAATCCCTCCAATGGCTTCAGGATAAAGTCCAAACCTCTTAACATGGTTTACGGGTGCCTTAATGATATAGGGCCAGCTAACTCTCTACTCTCTCTCCTAAGCCTCTTTTCTAACCACTTTTCTAACTAATGAAGTGTTTGTAGCTCATCAAAATGCCCCACTCTTTCATCGCCCCACATGCCTTCACATATCCAGAATCTCCTGCCTAGACTATCTTTTTTCCATCTCTTTCTTTGGCTAACTCTGATTCATCCTAAAAAATCTCAGCTCAGATGCTTTCCAAAAAGCAATTCTCAATACCGCCCCCTCACCTTACAAATCAAATCTGGCTAGGTGAGAATCCAATATGCCCCTGTAGCAACCTGTGTCTAACTATTACAGCACTGTTATATTCTAAGCACTAATTTCTCTGTCTTTCCAATTGTGTATGTGTGTGTGTGTTAGTTGTTTCCAGAATTCACACACCCTACCCTGAAGACCCCATCACAATCTTTGCGAGGGGAGGCATATGTCATTTAAAAAAGCTTCCCAGGTGATTCTTTCAATTTGTTCTGTTGAGATGGAGAGCCTCTAGGGGAGAGATACCCCCAGCACCTGACACAGGACTTGGCACATCATAGGTGACCATCACATGTTGGATGATGGTGGGGACAGTGGATGCTAGGGTGAGAAGTCTATCTTTCCTTCAGTAGACAATGGGTAGACATTTAACATTTGTGAATAGGGGCTCAACATAATCAGAGTAATGCCTTAAGAAACTGGTGTGTGATCAGTGATGTGTGGATTAGACTGGAGGAGAAAGAGGGATTATGTCATAGTGAATCCTAGACAAAAGGCTGCAGAAATTACAAAGGATATGAGGTTGCTGGAGTAAAAACTGCTCAGAGTAACATTCAGACACTAGCCTGAAGCACAGAAAGTTTTATATGAGGCCCTGGGGGAAGGACCTAAAAGCTTGTCTCCAGGTTAGCAGGTGGCATAACCGCCCAGTGTTCTTCAGCCAGATATCGGAGAACTCTTCTGCCTGACGTGGCTAGGCTGGTTCTGGATACGGAGGTCCAGATAGGACTGAATTGGGGGTATGAGTCTGGGGAACTGTTCCTGAACTCAGTTTAGTCTGGAGTAGAATTGTCTACAGGAGGTGACCCATTCTAGAACAGATCCAATTCCTGACTGATCCACTTCAGACTGATGCTAATGCATGGTACAAACAACTGAATTCTAGGCAAGAGTGAATGTGCCAACAGATCCCACAGCATTCATTAAGTCAGAAGTTTGAAAGAGGTGAAACTGTCTTTCAGGCTTATTTTATTTCTGCGGATTTGATTTGTTTGATTACAGCATGCATTTAGAAGAGGCTTGTCCTTCACTTTCCAATCTCCTTTTACCCTTTGTCAGTAACCTTGCGGGCTCTCTACAGGTGGTTCCATTTGTAATCCATTTGACACAGCAAGACTATCATAATTAAGGAAGCTCCCTACAGCACCACCAGTGACCCAGAATGTAGGACAGGAGAGGTGCTGGAGCAGTGGAAATAACAGTAGGCTGAGAGCCAGGAGACCCGGACATTGTCGGGAGGCTGCCATGGAGCCGTGGAAGAACAAGGGCGGCTAACTCTTCTTTTGTGCGCTTCCTTGTCTCCAGTCTTAAACTGGAAAGATGGAGAAGAAAAGGCCCTGTCTAAAAATGAAAGCATAATCACTAACGATTAAAATTCCTGCTCTTGGCCACCTTCTGTTATTTGCCACTGAAAATCAATTTATAGCAAACTGTTGTTGAGTCAAGTTTTGATTGCGGTAGGAAGAGAGAAGACATGGTTAAATTTTTAAATGCTAAAATAAATGTGGAATAGTTTCTGAGTTGAGGACAAGGATGGAGCCTGGTGAATGGGGGAACATGAGCATTTCCAGTGTAGGCTTCCCCAGCACTTGCCCGGCAGGATTTTCACATGGTCAGTGTTTGAGGTAGGAAAAATGGGGACCAGGTGTGTTATCTTTTCCCTTTTTTTCCTCTCTGCTTCAAACACACATGTAAATGGAATAAAAAGAGAAAGGAAATAAGAAGCCAGAAAGAAAACAGATGGCTTTCTATAATGGTTTTCATCCAGTTAGAATTATGTTTTAACTATAAGGTCCTACGGAAAAGAACTGAAATATATTTTTCAGAATTTTACCCCATATCACTTCTATATTAACACAGACCTGTATAACAGATGAGTCACCTGAAAAGAATTCCGGAAGGTCATGGGAAAGCCCTTACAGTCTATCTCAGTATACGCAGTCAGAGAGAGGAATCTGGCTGATTTGTTCATTAAAATGGTACCATACATATCTGCTAACAAATGTTCTGGGAGGGACCCCAAGACCTGCTCTCCTTCCCTCAGGCTTTCTCACACCCTAGGGCCAAGACTCACACCTCCCTGTGTCCACTGGTCAGCTCCTAGTGACATCATGCTGTGGGTACATTAAACATGTAGTGAACAGAGATGTATGGTCACTTGGTAATGGTTCCCATTTTTCCCCCACATGAAGAAACCTGAATTTCCCTCAAAACTTCACCTCAATTTTTTAATTAGTTAAAATCCTACTGCATTACTCCCTCCTGAAGAAGTCCTTGCATCTCTTAGCTTTTTCCTTTTCATTCTCCAAAGGGATTCAGAGTTCAAGTCCTGGGTATCATTTATCTGGATAACCATTCCTTTTCTGCTCATGTTTTTATTCATAGTATCTCTCTTTAATTACTACTATTATACTTTAAAAATGTTTTAAAAATTTTAATTATTTTTTCTGCTTATAGAAGTAATACAAAGTTAGACAAAATATTTTTATTATACTTCATATGATTATAAAAATGTCCTAAGTAAGTAAAATAAAATTTCTGTCTTTCCATTAATGCCTGGTTCAAAACTGTTAGATGAAGTTTCACTAAAGGGAGAGGGAACGTTTGGATGGTTTGATTTAGAATAGAGGCTATGTGGCACACATGAAATTCAGACTGGGGACCCTAGGCAGCCATCCTTCTGTGCAGATGAATGAGCAAGAGGCCCACGTGGTGCTGATGGGGGTAGAGTGTCAAACATAAGAAGCTGAGGATAGCTCCAGACATGAGCCCCAAATTGAAAATCACAGGGACCAATGTTCTTAGCTGGGGGCTCAAGGCCAGTCTTTCCTGGACACTATACACAGTCTGCTTCAGAGTGGGTGGTAGCCGGGATTGTTCTATTTGATGATGATAGGGAGTTTTCCAGAACTAGGTTGGGTGGGACAGCTGGTGAATAACAACAACAACAACAACAATACTAAAGCAGTTGTTAGCGTTTGCTCTCTTAAGGTCAGTAGTAGACATATGACATGTGTTGCTTCGTTTAATCCTTACAACAACCCTCTAAGGTAGGTTATACTATTATGTTTTTTTTCAGGGATGAGAAAATGCAAATTTCCCGAAGTTAACTTGTTCTGGGACATAAAGCTGGTAAGTGGCAGAGCCAGCATTTGAACCCAAGGCTAGCCTTAATCCAAAGTCCCTGGTCCCAACCACCATGCTTATTTCTTGCAACAAACTTGCATGGTGTGGTCAAATGGCTCTCGTCACCAGAATGCGCTGCAATAAAACACTGCTTTCTTAAAACACTACAAGGTCTCCAAAACACATTACCCATGGCTCAAGCCAGTTAGTCACCAGGACCTTCAGGGGGTGTCTCAAATTACCTGATGTACCACATCCCCTGCCTCTTATTTTCTGACACCCTGCCTCCATCCCATGCAGCTCAGGCCACACTACAACTCAGCCCTTTCATCTGGTGTTCTCACTTCCACCTCTCCACCTTCTGCCACGCTGCTCCCTGAGACAAGAGGCGCCAGCTCTGCTGCCAAATCCTCTCCCTCCTCACTCAGAGGCAAACAGCACCCTGTCCTCCCTCCCACCTAGGCTTTGTTCTGAGGAAACAAGAGGGGTCTCTTTCTTACTGCTAAAAACACTTTCCCTACCATCTATGTGCCACTCTCTGAAGGTGACACTCCACTTAAGTCTGCTCTGGCCATGTATGCATAGTGAAAGTGCTTATGATTAGTCCTTTGTACATATCTTCAGACCCTGTGGCTGTTACGTTGGGGTACAGTTTTAAGGAACATCTATGGTTCATGCCAGGTGTTATTCTACTAGGTTCCAGGCATTGCTCTAGGTACTAAAGACACTATAGTTCACAGAAGCACGTAAAGCCCCTTCTTTCCTGGAACTTACATTCTAGAGAATATCCCCTTTCCCTTTCTGTGTTAGGGTGGGGACTCCTGAAGGAGAGTTCTGGAGACAGACTGCCTGGGATCACAGCCCAGCCTTTCTACTCAGAGTCTGTGTGACCTCGGCCAAGTTAGTTAACTTCTCCCTGCCTCAATTTCCTGTAAATGGGAAACATTACTAGCATTTCCCTCAAAAGTGTTATTGACATTAAATAATTTAATATAGTTAATATATCCAAAGTACTTAGAATAGTGGCTCTGATATTAGGATTGTGTAATAAGAAATATTTATTTGGTCTTTGACCTCTTTCCTGGCACAGAGTTCCTAAAACTCTTGGAATTTCCTAAGGGATGAGAGGAATAAGGGCGTCTTTTGTTATGTTAAAGAGGTGGTTTTTGGAAAACACCTGAGGATGGGGGCAGGTTGCAAGGAGAACCAACCCTGTTATTAGGCGGAACTTTCAGTCTAATCTCTGGGGGGAGGGGAGAAGGGCTGGAGGTTGAATCAATTGCCAATGGCCGATGATTTAATCAACCATGCCTATGTAATGAAGCCTCCATAAAAACCCAAAAGGACGGGTTGGTGAACATGTGGAGATTTAAGGCGAGTGGGCTCAGAGAAGATGCAAGCTCCCCACCTTTTCCCCATACCCTTCCCTAAGCAGCTCTTCCATCTGGCTGTGCCTGAGATATCCTTTAATAATTAACTGGTGATCTGGTAAGTAAAATGTTTCTGAGTTCTGTGAGCCACTCTAGTAAATTAATCAAACTGAGGGAGGGGGTCGTTGGAACCTGCACTCTATGGCCAGTTGGCCAGAAGCATAGGTGACAACCTCACTTGCTGTTGGTGTCTGAGGTGGAGAGGGTGGGCAGTCTTATAGGACTGAACCTTTAACTTGTGGGACCTGATGCTATCTCCAGGTAGTATCAGAATTCAGTTGAATTGTAGGACACCTAGTTGGCATCCGAGAATTGCTTGGTGGTGTGGAAAAACCCCTACACAGTGGAATGGGAGGCAGAATCATAGTGGCACACTATAAGTTCTCAATATATGTTAATTATTACTTCCTTTAGATAACTAAACTAGATGTTAGGGATCAATCTTCCTTTGGAAGTATTCTTAAGTCTCCTCTATTAGGCTGTAAACTTCTTAAAGCCAAGGGCCAAGTCTTCAGTCCTTTTGTGTTTGCCACCCCTGGTATAGCGTTTTCCACTATAGTGTGGGCAACGACTAAATGCTCTTGATTGACAGGGCCAGTGGAGGAGGTGTCTGTTTTGAGGTCTGAGTGTATCCCAGCTCTCCTCACAGCAAAACTGTGTTCACCTGAGGGACTCCATTCTTGTTATCATATCTTCTCAGGAAAAGATAACTGTATGCTCAATGCCTTCTAGTGTTTATGTAAAAAAACTTGCCTTAATTTCTCAAGAAACAAGTCCCAAGGTTATCATGTTAAAAACATCTTCTGCCTCAAAGAGAAATGACAAGACTCACCTTGATTTTTCAATGGTAAAGGCATAGTTTCCCTGAGTTTGCTTAAAAGGTTTTTCATTTCTCGCATGTCTCTGTAAAATGGATAAAAAGAAAAAATAACCAGCTGTAAATTTTTGAAATGCAATCTCAGTCTGTTCTATGAGACAACTGAAGGACAAGAGTCTGTGCCTAATTGTACTAGCTCTAGTTTTCAATGGGCAAGTATTGAATTTATTTTGCTTTTATAAGAAAAAAAAAAATCTGAGATGGGTTGGCTCTGGAAGGAATGCGAACTACTCTGGCAAACATTTCCGCAGGGCATTCTGCTGCAGGAGCGCTCGTCTCTGTCTTCAGTGGAACCTGACTAGATCAGAGAAGAGTCTCCAGTAATGAGGACTGTTCTTCAGATTTCCAAGGGGAGCTGAAGGACACACAACTAGGATGGCAGGGGTACTCTGGGCAAAGCTGATACCAGGCAATAGTGTTCTCAAGGCTTTCTGGTCAGCCGGCTATCATGGCTGTGTAGGTTCACTCCCTGTTGACAGCTTGGTTTTAAAAGTTTCTCATTACCCAAATTGGAACTTGCTGTAACACAGCTGTCAAGCATTCACAAGGGCCAATAGTTATTAAACTTACGTGGAATGATGGGAGAGTATGACAAATTCTGAAACTTTCACAGAAGAGCTCTTCACAGTGGATGAAAGAAAGAGAGTGAAGCACCTGCACCAGCTGGGCCTTCCTCTAGCCACTGGCATGTATGAAAGGCACTGCATACCTCTAACATCCTCCGTTGTCTCATATGACCATAAAACCACGGAGCTGCAGAGCAGGAAGCCAGCTCAGTGGGTTTCTATCTGGGGTAAGGGGTGAGTTGGACTTTTCAAGTCCTTGGGACACTTGTTCCCTACGTGTTCAGGTGGCTCTCCACTGAAATTAGCGCTCTTGAAATCCCAGGACAGGTAGATTTCATTTAAAAGAGCAAAAATTAGATACATCTTTTAGTTAACTCTAGAATAGGCAGGCAATAGCAGATACCAAGGCTTTAAGAAAGTTTTTTGGGGAAGATAATCCTAAAGTTGAGGAAAGTCTTTTCCACTAACTTATTTTTCTTCTGCTGTTTGAGGAAAGAGAGCCACCTATATTTTAGACATAAAACCCCTCAGTCCATTTCACAAAATGCAACTGTTCTGTTGAGTATGGTTGAGGACCACTGTCTTAGTGGAGGCTGGAGACCCCATGGGGTCTCCTCCTCAAGGACTGACTAACATGTGAAAAGGAGCTCTAGTCTTGGGAATAGCTGACTGGAAAAGGAGTGGAAAGCAGCCTTGTGGATCTGTAGAAATATACCTGTAAAAACACTCGGAATGCTTTCCTACAGGTGTGAGGTTGTGGGAGGTCTGTGGGGTGCTGATAAGCCCCAGAAGGTATTTCTAGAGAGGGAAGGTGAGAGGAGGGGAGGGGGAGTGAGGAGGACAGGGCTCTATAACCAGAAGGGCAGGGGGTACATTCTGTTTTCACAAACAGTTCTCAAGGGCAGATGGAATGGGTGGGAGGTGGAACGGGCTAGTGATGCAGTATGTGAGACTGAGGCAAGGTCTCCCTGGAAACCACCAATTCTCAGCCTTGGCCGCTGCACAGGAGAATCACCATATACCCAGCCCACCAGAGTCTGCTTTGGTTGGTTTCTGGTGGGCTCCAGGCATCAACGTTTTTTAAAAAAACTCCCCTGGTGATTTTAATGTGCAGCCCAGTTTGAGACCCACTGATCTCTTAGGGCAGAGAGGCAGGGAGAACTGAGGAAGCTGCATTCTCAAACCGGGTCTGCTGTGCCTACTTCTCTCAGTCATTCCCACCACCTCTGACCGCAGTCTGGACTTGCAGCAGAACTGAAACGCTGCCAACACTGTGGGCTATGCATTCCTATTCTTATTGCAGCCATAGCTTGCTTTCTTATGAGCTTACAAGGCTTGGATATAGCTGCCGAGCAAGGTTTCTGAAGAGGAAAATGGCTTTGCTGATGGATTATGCCCTGACCAAGGCAGATATTTCTTCCTGGGAATAGAGCAAAACATTTTCTTATTTTATAAATTAAGACAAATCACTCCTTCATCATTTATCTATAGTTCTATCAAACTGTGCCAAACAGCTTTATTGTTTGAATTGTTGGATTTCCAAGCTTATACGAAATCCAAGTTTTATTAATAGCACATAATTACCACATGCTTCCATTTTATATAAACACAGAAATTTGGTAATTAGCTTTAGAATTATATTACAATCTGAAAGTAGAACCACAATGGCTATAAATCCCATTGTGTGCTACATTTCTAAAAATAAAAAAATAAAATGTTCATTATCTTGTGAATGCCTCAACCCCAAACACGCAGAGCACTCCGTGGAAGTGCCCAGTATTCACGTAGCTGCTTCGTGCGGCCCCTGGGGACGTTAGTAGCAAAGGCCAAGATGTCAGTGTGAAGGCCAATAAACAGCGTTCTCATCCTTCTGCCTCACAGAATGGCATTTTTAACATCTAGATGAGGCATGGCACTGATTATATTATTATTGCTCCCTTTTCCCAAATGAAAAGGAATCTCATCTTCTCAAGAAAGAAACTCCTCCTCCAGCAGTGAGCTTCTGGTGAAGACAAATGCGTTAACTCACTTTGACCACTAAGGGGCCATCAGCTCCATTGTGGGAGAGAAAAAGGGAGCTCTGGGAATCGCTGTTTGAACTGGACAGAATGCTCAGCCCCTGACTGGCAGCTAAGCAGGCCATTCCATACGCCCGAAATCTGAGAATCTGCTGGAGGCATCTTTGCCCGATTTCACGTTCTTCTCCCTTAAACAAAGGGAAATTTTGGGACCCAGCCAGTGGGGGAGCTGTGATAGTAGGTAGATCTAACTTTCTCCCTTCCAAGGAAGCACACTGTTTTCATTTCCATGGAGACACAGTGTGGTGGAGGGGTCAGCAGAGGCCTGGGAGCCGGCGTCTGCTGGACGTTTTGCTATGGTTCCACCACAGGGCTTGGACTCCTTACCTTCCCTCGTCTCGGGTTTCTGAGAGTTCTATTTCTGAGTCTGAAAGAGAAAAATCTCGACTCTGTGTAGCCCCTAGGAGTATTTAACTGTAGGAGAGTTGGCTGTCTATTTAGGGTAACTTTCCACTTACCTTTCACTGTTCTCAATGTCTGTGGAAACCTGCCAGGAATGTTGCTGAATGTCTACGGGGGATGTTGAGGAGTCCTCTAGAGCAGGTGTTTCAGCGCTTGCCTCAATTTTGCAATCCAAACTCTTGGTTCCCCCTCCAGGCTCCTTTCCTAATGGGGGAGACGGGGGTGTTGGTAAAGAGAAGGGGTTAAGAAATCATTGCAAAAGTTGGCTGTGCTTTGAGTCGAATGCTCCATTAACCTTAATAACTTTGTGAATACTAAAATAATTTATATATACATGTATACGTGTGTGTGTATGCAGCATTTTCTACAACATTCTGGGAAAGACAGCTTGAGGTCAATGCAACCTGAAGTTCAAGAAAAAAGTAAGGGCCCTGTCTTTGGGTATTGGTGCTTTGTAACCCATTCTTAGTAAGTTAGATCAGGTTAGCTTGGGAGCGGGATTCAGCCTGTGAAACCATGCTGCTTTTTGGTCCTCAGATGCAGAGGCAGGTAAGAGGACCAGGAGCAGGTGACGTCCAGATGAAAGAATGGGAGCTCCTGCCTTTCTCTCTGATTCTGACACTGGCTCTCTTGGCCTTTGGGAAGCAAGAGAGATCCCGGACCTGCCTTCCATTTCCTCGGCTCTCCATTCTCCCTGAGTGCATCCTTCTGTGAGGAAAGAGCCTGGCATCAAGATCTAGCCTTACTCTGCTGAGACCATAAAATGCCATCAACTAAAGTGCCGTATACTGGGTAGTCATCCACAACAATACACTGCCAATCCACTAAGACTTGTATTTACCATGACTGATCTCAAGTGAATGAATCAATACTTTCTGGAAACGAATTTCCAAATTCGTTCAGCTATAAATTCATATAAATTAAACGGGAGTTACAGTCTGTGCCCCAGGTATCCTGTGTTAATGTCTTTTATTCTGCCTTGAAAATCTGCGCATCTGCTGGGGGGTATCCTGGTATCATGGGAATGGCCTATGAGACCTGAGAACTGGGTTTTAAACCTCATTTTGTCATTCATTCATTCACTCATTCATTCATTCACTTGCAAATATTTCTTGAGTATCAGCTAAGTATCAGCTACTGGGCTTGAAGCTAGAGATATAGAAATGAAAAAAAGACATAGTCTTTGTCTAATGAAGCTTAAAGTGCAGGAGATAGACAATTTTAAAAAGTGATACAAATAATTACAAAGCTGTTGTATAATATTATATAGTCTGGTAAAAAGGGTAGCTATATTGTTTCTTTTACTCTTCCATCTAATTTTGTTTATATTATGTACCTACAGCTCTAGACTAGTTGTTAGGAAATTGTTACAACCCATATCATCAAATATTCATGAGACAGCAGCTACAACAGGTTACCTCTTAGCTCAGTTTCCCTAGTCCTGATGTGATCGTCTTTGCATTTTTTTATTTTTAAAAAAACAAATAAAAAATAAACACACTTGTGAAGAAGATGGAAGTTTATGGTAAAATCTAATGTGAAGCTTTTCCCTTGGATTCCTGATCTGAAGGGGACCAACAAAATCTCCCTGTAATTTCTAACCCATATGGTAGCAACACAAGGAGAAAGAGACAAGCAATTAAATGGTAATTAACTGTACATCATTCACCAGCCTGTAGTAGAAATGGACCTCTGAATGTTCAGCTGAAGCACAAACACAAGTTTGCTGATGAGAACTTTTGATCCTTTAGTGTGTACTTTATGTACATTGATCCTAGGTGATGGAATTGCTTTTCTAATTTTATGTTATGTTGTTGAGTGGAAATTAAGCACCTAATTTAGCATATTACCATTTCATAGTTGGAGGGCATTGACCTCTTAAAAGCACTTGCATTGTGCCTCCTGGTAGAGTGCAACAAACGTAGTCAGTCCATTTGCCACCCACCTCTGAGTAGGGTCAGCCCTCGGATGCGAGTCTGAGCAAGCAGCTAAGGTCTGAGACAGAAGCAAAAGTAGGGTTCCCCAAAATCAGCCTCCTGCTTTTCAAAACTCTGAAGGATAGGGCCATCTGAATGCACACATGGCTCCTGTTACACTCCTGTGGGACTGAAATGCCTTGAAGAATGGAGTATAGTTTGGACAGCAAACGGGGGAGGAAGATTCAAACAGGGACGGAATTCTCTGCTTTATGGGTTTTGCTTGGCTGGGGGGCACAGTAGCCCCTGACCTGTGGTCAGCGGTATACAGCGCAAAGCTTTCATTCCAATGAGAACAGTGCATGTTCCTTCTTGGAGTCCTCTGTCCCCCTCATATGGACACGGTTTACATGCAAAAAAGATAGAATCCAATCCACAGTCACTTCATTTATACTTCCTGCCTGTAATAGTTCTACTGCTTATATAAGACAAATACCATTCTATAACTTTTTCAAAGTAATATAACTAGTCATATATTCCCGAAACATGGCTATGAGCTGTAATGGCAGGTAATATGCTCCTTTCCCTCTTTTTCAGTGACTTCTAGATCTAACTCTGCTAACGTGGATGAACAAGAATGAAAACCTTGGATGTTGGAGTTGGAGTTTAGTGGCTTCTATCAGTTCACAAAAATCTCTGCAGAATTTCATCATATTGTATCTTTTCTGGCTGAAATGTCTTAAAAAACAGAGGAGATCAATATGAATTTAACGGGTTTTCAATTCCAGACTATATAAGGGGGTCAAGTGTACTCTGCAAATAGATAATTGCTCTCATTTATTGATAGCACGGACTATATGCTGGGCCTCCCTTCCCGCTACAGTGCCTGTTATTACCTTCATAGAGCTTACCACTATTAGAAATTATCTCACCTATGTATTTGCTAACTAGTTTACTATTTGCCCTGCCAAACCCCACCCTCATCTCACATCTCCAAACTAGACATTTAAAGTCTGTGAGGCCAGGAACTTTGTTTTCTTCGATTCTATAAGCCTAGTAGCAAAGACCAAGCCTTACATATAGTAGGATTTCAATAGATATATAGCATTTAAAAAATTAATTATATACATATACGTTGTTATACAACTCGCTTTGCCAAGTTCATATGGTTAGAGAGACTTTCATCTTAGCGCATTTTGATTTATTTCATGCTTTTTAATAAATGGGTAGTATTCCATAGTAAGAAATTTAGATGGTAACTGTTCTCTTTTCTTACAGTATGCCAGTATTTGCACAGGACAGATCCTTTGAAGTAGAAAACTGGGACACAGTGCATCTACTCACATTTTATTTCAATATATTGCCAAATTGGTCTCTGAACAGGCTATGCTAATTTACACTTCACTTCCACCAACAATGAATGAGAGGACCCATTTCCCCACCCCTTTGCCAGAACTTCCCGTCATCAATATTTGATTTTTGCTAATCTGAAGGGGCAACATAGAATCTCTCATTACAGTTTAATTTTCATTTCCTTTATTACTACTGAGATTAAATTTATTTTCATATGTTAATTGGCCACTTGTATTTCTTCTTCTCTATATTTTCTATTCATATCATTTGCTCATTTAAACAATAGGGTCGTCTTTCTTGTAGATTTGTAAGGATTCTCTTGGTAAAATGGATGTTGATCATTTGTTATGTATACGGCTTATATCTCTTAATGTATCATGTCTTTTAATTGTGTTTACAATGTATTTTTCCATAAATTAATATTTTTTTAATCAAAGCTGTTCATCTTTTCTTGTATGTCTTTTGGATTTATGTCTCATCTATTCTTATAACACTTACACAGTTTTAAAATGTTCAGCTCTTTAATTCGTCTGTAGTTTATTTTTACATATGGTGTGATGTAAAGATCTAAATTTTTAGTTCAAATGAAGAGCCAATTGCCCCAACACCATTTATTGACTTTTTCTATTGACTTTACTGTTCTTTCTATTTTGAAGTTCCAGTATAAATGTGGGTCTATTTCTGGAAAGACTATTCTACTTAATATTTATTTATTTGTCTATCCTTGTGCCAGTTCTATGATATTTTAATTATTAAGCTTTCAGTATTTGGTAAGGAAAGTTCTCCTACATGGTTCTTTTTCAAAATTTTTTTAATCTACTGCAATTGAAACTATAAATTACTACCTTCTGGGATTTGGATCTTTAATGAGGGATGAATCAATGATTACTTTCTCATTATTGTCCAGGTTTCATGGTTTATTTGAAATTTTTGCTCTTCTTGAGTTAATTTTGATAATTCATTTGTCTTATAAAACCATTTGCCAAACACATTTTTACTAGTATAAAGTAAAATATGATTTTCTCTTGTAACTGTTTCACATCCCTAATGCTGTGTACTCGTGACTTTTGCATACCACTGTTTCTTGGGTTCCATATCTTCCTCTTTCTTAGATTCTGTTTTCATTTTGTTGGAGCACATCCTTGACTGATTATTTCACAGATCTGTGGAATGCAAAATTTCTTAGCCTTTATATGATTGAAAATACTTTTTGTTTTCTCTCCCTTTCTCTCTTTGTGCTCACACTTAAATTCTAGTTGGCTGGATATAGAAATCTCTGTGCAAACTAAGTTTCTCTCAGAACTTGGGTGATATTCTTCCCTCATCTTCTCTCTAAATCCAGGGATGCTTTGTATGTAGCCTGTTTATGGCTGTCTGAAAAACTTTAAGGATGTTATCTTTAAACATTTTAGCTATGAAATGACTCCTAAATTTGCGGGAGTATATATAATTGACACTCAAATCTCTCTCTCATTTATATATATATGTTTTGCATATATTACATATATAAGTTTTTGATGAACCGTTTAAGAACAAGTTGCAGATATTAATGACACTTTATTCTAAATACTTCAGCATACATCTCTAAAGAACAAGGATGTTTTCCCACATAACCTCAAAACAATTTTCACACCAAGAAAAAAATTAACTTTGATTAAATATAATTCAATGCAATTTGATACAATACTATAATTTAATATATTGTCTACATTCAAATTTCTCCAATTGTTCCAATGATGTCCCTTGTAGCTTTTTTAAAACCAAAGTTTCCAATTAAGGGTGAAGCACTGCATTTGCTTGTCATGTTTCTTTATTCTCCTTTAATCTAGAATAGCACCCTTGTCTTTTTTCATCCTTCATGTCATTGATATTTTTGAATGAAGAGGCCAGGCCAGTTGTTTCATAGAATGTCTTTCAATTTGGAGTTGTCTTACT